GTAAGTCAGATTATTTTTTACAAATGACGAAGTCAACAGATATAAAGGGGAAAAGTCTAAAGAAATAAAGAGAAAGAGGGAAGTGAATAAAGAAGAGAAATGTTATAAGATGTATAAGTGTATAAGGTTGTATAAGGTTGGAAGAATGAAACTAAGGAAAGTTATTCCTTATATTCAGCAGCTTTCATATTTTTAGGACTTGTCGGGCAGAATCGGAGTGTTTAAAACAACAGCAGTGTAACAGCGAAAGTCCAGAATGCCCACCATCTGATCCTAAAGAGAACGGTCTACCGTGCCAAGATTCGACTAAAGTTTGTAACGATGGTAATTGCAATGGCTCAGTTTGTGCACAGGTTATTTTACTTAGCCAGTAATATGAATACTGAATAGTAAAACGACAAACCTAAGTTGTGCAACATTATTTGTGCTCATTGTGTTTTGAAATGTAGTGTTTAAATGATATCGACTCTGTTGGTATGTGCATCTTATTTGTAAATATTTATAGGTGGGATTGAGGGACTGCTTCTTGACAGTAGGATCACCAGAACATCTCTGTCATCTGGCTTGCGAGGACGAAAATGGAAGTCAATTATTTCCCTCTATTTCTTAACTAGTTTTCTGAATTTTCCCTCCATTTTCCTTTTCCTTTTATTTCTGAATATTGAAGCTAGATCATGTACGATATGTTCGTTATGCTTGCAGCTTGTCGTTCTAGTCTTACACTACCCCAATTTGCCGTCGGTAAATACAAACAATCTGGTCGAAAAAATAAACCTGGATTGATTCTTCTTCCTGGTTCTCCGTGCAACAACTACAAAGGTATTTCTGAGTTTGTTAAAGTCTTATTTGATTTTCATTGTTTACTTATGGCTTATCAAGAAAGCTAACTGTGATTTATGTTGAAGGTTATTGCGATATCTTTCGCAAGTGCAGAAGTGTAGATGCTGATGGGCCATTAGCACGTCTTAAAAATGTCATCTTCAATCCCAAAACGTTGTATGAAGTGAAATACTGGATTCAAGTAAGTATTGGAGTCTTTTCCTTTTGCCTTGAAAATCGATAAAACTTGCTTTAAAGAAAAATTGTTCGGACGACCAGTCTGTATTATTTTGTTTAGTTATTCGGGAGCATATTCTTTTCTGTATATATATACATATATCTTCAGGTTAACTGGTGGGCCGTTGTTCTTGGTGGTCTTGGTCTTCTGCTTTTCATGACACTTTTTGTCAAGATCTGTGCTGTACATACTCCCAGTACAAATCCTAATAAAACTCCAGCCTTAAACATTTATGACACTCTCCGTCGTCCGAAGAACCTCATTCAGCGTAAACATGGCCGAGGAGTACATCAGGCATAACTGTTTTTACTCATTTTTAAAGTGTTGGAAGTGCTGAGTAATTTGAGTATTTTTACTACAAATTAGACTTGAATAATTCAGGCATTTAACTATAACCTGAGAATGGACTGAGTTTTATTGTTAAGGTTGGTGCAACTGCTAGTGGACGACAAGCTGCAGGACACTCGGGTAGTAGTGATAGGGCAAGCAATCGCGCAACATTTCAACCAGCGCTTTCAGCGCCGCCTTTACCACCGCCACCAACCAGTGTCCTTGTCATAGAGCCACCACCGCCCTACACGGCTGCTGTTCCGGGATCTTCCGTTGCATTTGGTGGCCCAAAACGCGGTCATCGGAGAAATCGAAGGAGAAATGATGTCGAGATGCGAGCTAAAAATCGGCGGAATTAGTAGTAGTAGTTTTAATTCAATATTGCTCACTAATAATGAAGCTGCTGTCTCATACTTTTATCGATTTCTGTTAATTTCAAGATCTCTTTTCTGCAGTTAAACATTGGAAACGCTCTATTTTTTGTTCTTTGTTCTAGTTCTTTCCGTCATTATTGTCAGTGTTTCAGTTTTAACCTATGTTGTTTAAATGATAGCTCAGATTTGATCATGTTGATCATGCTAGACATAAGACTTTTATGGATGCTGTAATTTTTCAATTCCAAAGGAGACAGAAATTTGTTAGGTGAAGGAAGAGTTCTGTTCGACTTTTTTTTCCTCCAAATTCAAATTTCAGGATTGACTGAAGCACAGTACAAGTTTAAGGGAATCATTTTTTACGGCCATTTTTCAACCTTATCAAGAATCAAACTTATCAATTTTTCAAGTCCATTGTCCTTTAGAAGTGCCTTGTACGACTATTCCGTAGGTTAAAGCAGATCATCCCATGATATTCATTCTTTTGATATGTTGAAAACTATGTTTTTTTTTAGATGGAATTTCGTATAAAAATGGAATTCCAAAATGCATCTCATTCAAGTGCTGCTTTAATTTTTTTTAACAGGTAATCCCTTTTCTAAAACATCTTTTAAATGTCGATCATTTTTAAAATGCTACAACAGACTTGTCTTTCATGTCTTACTTAAAAAACGAATTTCTTTCACTGCCCTCACATCGATTTCCTCTTTTTTATACCTGTTTTTGCATTCCCTCCAAAATTTCATTAATTGTTCACAGTTAATGTTTTTCTTTCCTTTTTGTTTCTTTCACCAACATTATTGTTTCTGTTTGGTTTTAATGTAATGGTCTTACCCTGATGTTGCCTTCATCCCCATATACAGTTAATTGCTTTCGTTTGATGCTGCTGTTTTCTTTGTCTTTGTGGAGAATTTCAGGACAGTCATGATAAAATGCTTTAGCAAAATCAAGTGGCGGAGACTGAAATTTTACATTATCTACACGGAATAATCGAAAATTATATTTTGTGCGCTCGGAGTCAGAGTTTGTGACATGTATCAGAAAATCATGAAAAGTCATAATCGTCTGTTTTTGAAGAGCTGATTCAGTGTTTCTTGCCCATTACTTTCAGTTTCCATTTTGTGGTGTTTTGATGTACGATTTGCATGTAAAATGTGCTAACTGCATAAAATGCTTTGCATGCATTGCTGCACTCAACACTGTAAGGAAGGAAATGTTCACCAGCTCTACGACAACATCATTATTCTATCCGCCATTGATGGCATTTCATTGTTAGATGGTATTCGGGATTGTAAATTTCCCTGATAAAGTCATATTTTGCGTGGGCGTAAAAAATGTAAACATTCACATAAACAAAGAAGTGTGAACATTTACATAATGTAGTGACAGAGGCTTTCATTATTTTTTCATGTCACCTCATTATTGAGAAGATGGATAGTCAGTTGCGCATTGAAGTTTTTGGAGCTTTTCTCGCGAACAGTGAAACCTAATCTATGACATGAACAATGACCTAAAAACCGAAAAGAAAGCAAAATTAAGTCGAGAGTGAGGATGGTTCCTAAGTTAAGAATGGTTCCTTAGAGTAATATAAATACGTGTTCAAGTAAATATTCAGCTTTTTTGCTTGTAAAGTCATCCCGTGCATGAAATTTGTATTACTATTTTCTTGGACCTCCTGTTTTCGTCATGGATTGCTAGTAACGCACCTACCGTAAGTTTCTTGTTGCGTGTATTGATTTTGTTCTTGTACTACCGTGAAAATGAAAGCTGCATGGCGAAATATTGATTTTATCTATACACCATCGTGAAAATGGAAACTGTATGGCGATATACTTTTTTTTAATCACCACACTCACTTTCTCGAAAAAATACTTTTGATTTTATCAGACCGATCGATTTTTGGAGATTTGTATATTCATGATCCATCTTACAATATTCTGTCAGGAAGGCAAAATTGTAAATTACCACAGATATTGGGAAGTCTTTTAGGAAGATAATGTAGAGTATATGGGGTCACTAAATCAAATCAGTTACATCGGGGAAAAGATTTCACTGTCGTCAAGTGTTTAATATATTCAACTTTTTACAGGAGACCAATTCCTTCGGAAACAATGTTGTTCGCTTTCACGACACACTTAAAAAAGATATATTATGTACCTTTTTCTTTTCATGCTTAAATGGTTGCATCGTTACCTCCGTGAATGCCGATAATGTTGATATTTTACGAACAAATTAATTGGCAAGGCTCTGAAATTGTTCTGAAACTTTAGTTTCCAGAATTTCTGATTTATTAATTCGCTGGTGGAACAAGTAAGAGGAGCTTTATATTTATAATAACTATTCAATATATAATATGTTAAGTTGAGGTATAAAACTAAATAATTAAATGAGCATTCCAGAAATAATATACTCAATATATTTTCTTAATGTTATTTTACTTTTGAGTCGGGAAGTATTAAATCGGTAAATAAATGAGGCACTTCAAAGAGATTATCGAAAACATAGGGTGATGTGAAGCAACTAGATGAGTTCATTTTATCGTTTTGTAATTGTTAGGAATAGTTGATTGTGCCGGCAAATTAGTTGTTAATCAGTTTGAGATATTGCTTTGATGTGGTAGTTTTTTTTATAGCTATCGTTACTTCTACTTGAAGTGTCAATTCCTGAGAGTGTAGCAGATTATTTCATTCATTGAAAATGTTAATTTCGTTCCTCTTTTCATACTAATTCATTTTTTGGAATAAAGGCATAATTTCATTTGCAAAGTGTGAAACCACTTTAATAGTTAGTTACTTTTACTGCTGTATTATTAAAACTGATCTCTAAATATAAATCACTGGGTCAGACAGAATCCTGGATGAATCAAGCATTGCAGAATGAAGTAGACTTTTTGGGAGCTGTATGCTTCTAGAGAGCTATATGCTACATTGGTATTGTTTGCTTCAAAAGAAACATATTAATCCCTGCTGTTTTTTGTTTTAGTGATCATCTGAATTGTCGGTGGTTATTAGTAATGCAGAAATGCAATTCTAACGAAGGAAACGGCACGCGATTTTTACGAAACGTGGTAGAAAGATAGCTTTAATGGTGGTGGAACAGTTTTAATCATTATGGGTGCTTTTGCAACTCGTGCATTGATCGTGGCTCGGTTGTCCAGTTGCATTCAATGCAGGCGTAACTTATTCTAGGCACTGAATAACTGAAATCGAACGATGTTGATTAATTGTTTATTAGTACTAATGCGTCGTTCGGCTCGATGCTCACTGGTCGCTCAACGTCATTTATTATCGAAAAAATTTGCGTTGAATGAAGAGTGGTGTAGTAGACATAGTGCACTTAGTGAACTCGGTATAGACGGAGGATATGAATGGATTACTGCTGTACAGAAGAAGTTTGTCAGCGCTAAAATAGCCAGGTTTGCTCAAGTTATTTCCCATCTATCTGTTAGTGATATCTTGGAGTACTCTTATCATTCGGGTTCCATTTTAGGGCGAATTGGAACTATGTGAATAAATTTTGCTTCTATTGGTTGCACTACTTGAGAGCAAGAAATTTTTAGTACAAATAATTTCTTTTGTGAATTATTATATAGCGCTCTTTTCTGTTTTTTATATATTCATATTGATAAATAAATTAAAAATATCCCAAAAGAAATATGAAATGCTACTCATCCCAATTCCTACAGATATCTTCGATTTATTTCTTCGTGTGTTTTATGATTACCTTATTTGTGATAATGATGTTTTGAAGTGCGGTGGACGTTGATGCAGCGGTTTGTATAGCAGAGGAGTTGGATCAGCTAGATGATATACTAAAAATTATATACAAATTGCGACACATCGAAATGACCGGTAGGATGCTACCTTCAACAGAATATGCTCTTGTCAGACTGCTTCTGAAACATCACAAAACCGACATTCTTCTTGCAGTTCTAACTGACCCTGTAAGCAATCTCTTCTTTAAAGAACTTGAAATGAAGAGGGAGATAATTCTTTCCCTCAATTTCCACAGCAGTGGACTCGATTTAGGAAGGTATGACTTATGTCGTTATTGTTTGCTAATTACAATTATCAGGTGTCATTGTCAGCTCTCAAAAATTATAATAATTTATTACTCATTTGAAAATTATGGCAAAAATTATAATAATTTATTACTCATTTGTTTTACTAGACAGAACTTGTTATTTATATTCATTTATCTTTTACTTCTTCGATTGTCGTTACTGCAAAAGTCAGTGATATGGTAGTCCTTCCCGAGGTTCTTTGAAGTCTTCTCGACTTATTCTCATAAAATATCACTCAAATTGCGGCACTTGTTCGTATTCCTTATTTCTACTGTTATTTCGAACTTGTATAAGCTCAATATTTCCCGGTATTTGCAATTTTGCCAACGAATGTGCATGTAATTCCAAAATATTTTATAAAGCCTGTTACTACGATGTACCAGTTTTCTGACTTTTCAGATCAATTATGGAGTTTTTTTGAATGAACATTCAGCTTGTCTAATTATAGATAACTTTCTGGAAGCTGATAAAATCACAGGTAAGGACTAAAATCATCCTTCATTATGATTTTTGAAATTTCGTTCTCATTCAACACTTGATTAAATCATATGAAGCTGTTTACTTAACCAATAAGTATTGATCTGCTTCTAGATGCTGCACGAGTTGCCAGCTGTGTAATGCTTCAAGAAATGTTCCAATCTACTTTATTGAACTGGCTATGTATTTATAGCAGTTTAAGGTGGACTGAATTGCCTACTGGACAAAGAGTATTTGAGGAACTTCCGTCTCTGGATTATATTGCTGGAACAGAAAACAATACAGGGCATGTGGAAGATGAAGACGAAGTGCGTCCGGGCGATAATTTCTGTTATTTCACTTTGCTCAAATAGAAATTTCAGGCGTCATTTTTTCAGTCTATGTATAACAGTTTTTTGATAACAATTTATCAGGTACCAAAGTTTGTTATATCCATATTAGATTGCAGCTCATAAATACGGGTCATTATGCTGAAAGTTAGATAATTGTGGTGATTTTATTTAAATGATTTACTTAAATTCAACAATTACAATGAAGGATAGATTACCGATGCTGACTACTAATTTTCTTTTAAACTACTCAAAGTCAAATTATGAATATTTGTTTCATATGATTTGCACCGAAAGATTATAGATGACCTTCAAATTCCCATATTTAAAAAACGAATACAACGACATGCATTTCGATCTCACCGATCCAGATCAACTCATTGGGAAAAATCTACTTTGGTTTAGTAACTGCGTTCCATTGAGTGAAGAAGAAGCTAAAAATATTCGCCTAATAGGATATGTATTTTTTGGCAACTATGTTTTGGCAAAACAGTTGCTGCAAACGATAAATATCTTCTCATCTGCGGCTGCAATTTGTCAGTCCAGATTGGAGCAGTTAACGATTAAAACAGATAACATTAGAGAACTGCAGGATAGACAGCCTACTGAGAATGTTGTAGAGGAATTAAAGGTTAGTAATTTGAAAATTTGGTAGAAATCAAGTAAGGTGTTTTATCCAGCACTTGACTTTAAGGGATTTGTATACCTATTTCCGTATGGTCACCTTGTAGGTTTTTGGTGATAGGTGGGGATTCTAATATTTGCCTGTTGGGTTTGGTGGGAATTCTAATGTTTGTCTGTTGGGTTTTGATATTAATGTTATATTTCTAAGTCCTAAACATATTGCCGACAATCGTATAATTCTGAACGGGAAGGGTGTGGAGTGGTCGTTTTACCACTTTCTGTTTTTGTTTTTACTATTTTATGTTTTTCGATTCCAATATCTTGATTTTATGAATCATTCTTCTGTAGGGAATAATCGACAAGATTGAAAAGAAGAACACGGACGAGAAATTATCAGATATGATCATGAAGCATTTAAAGGCTGTACAGAATACGGAGGAGAAAAACGTGATAGAAATACAACGCAGTGCCTTCCGTAACTGGATACAAAATCGTACTGATCTTATCAGAGCTCAGGTAATTTCAGGCAAAATATTAAACTTGAACATAATTCCATTTGCGAGTGACGCTCTATCGATTCTGAATTGGAAGTCGTTCCCTGGTATAAAATTAAGCGAAAATTTTAGTTCTTACGAATGAAATTTCAAGGAAATTTAAAAGTTTTTATTGATTTTAGGTCGAAACCCTCGATTTAAAGTTGCGACTGAAAGAAACCTGTGAAGAGCGACGAAAATTACGAGATCGTTGGGAAATGTTGAATTTCTTCGAAAATCGCTTAAAATGGGAGGATATGGCGGTTGTAAAAGAGGAGCTTCTAAAAGCTGAACAAGATAAAAGGAAAAGTAAGGAAGACTTAGAGCAGGAATACGTAGATGAAGTATTTCATAAGAAAAATGTTAAAAAGTGTTGAACGTTCATTGTCTGTATGAGATCAGTGATGTTTGAGATTTGAATGTGAATTTGAAATAGCTTTATTTTGAAAAATGAACCATTTGTTTTCAAATTCCAAAATAAAATTTTAATGAATGTTATAGATTGGTTCACTTCATGCTACCTTACAGTGTTTGTTTGCAGCCGTATTTTTGGATTGTTTGTCATTTGAATATGGAATTTGTGTGATGTTCATGTTAAAAGAGTGATAAATATTTCAACTTGTCTCGAAACTTATTCTGAAGTAGCTCTGCATTGATCATATTGTTTTGAGACAGAGGTAGCGCGATTAGTGTCTTGGAAGAACGTGATCGGGAGTTATAAGACTGTTTGGACCATTGGTTTGAACTACAGTTTTCTGAGTGATTTTATAAGGAATAACGAGTGCTCTTGTAATTATTTCTTTGCATTGATTTTTGAATATTAAATCAAAGAGCAAAATTCATTTGTAGAATGCAAAGCTGAATGGCGTCAAAGGAGCTGCAAGCACGTTGCCGCATACGTAAGTTCTTTGAGTACATATTAACGCCAAGTGCTGCAGAATTTCATAAGGGAAAAGAATGCTTACTTCATTTCAGTTTTTCTTGCTAAATTTCAACACCTCTGTTTATTAATTTCATACATACAAGTGTATTTTTCTAGTGGCGGAACGCCTATCGGAGAGTGCGCATATTGTTGATCACGACCCATCGTTAGCCCTATATCGATTACACGTATGTTGGATAAATTACACCTATAAATTGAAGGAACGTAATTTCAACTCATATTCAAAATTCAAAGGAAATTCGTGAAGTACCTGAAATCCACATAAGCTTACTTCTCTTTCTTTCATAAATCGCTTTCACAGAACATATTTAGCAATAATTCATTTCCAAATACATAAATCTGGACAATATTTATTCCTCTGCATGGAAAACTTCCGTTATATCAAAACATCGACTGCGGTGAGGCAGTCACTTTTCTACTATACTGCTTTGTTTTTACCGCTAAGTTCGCTGTATTTTTACGAATCATTAGCTTATTGAAAACATAATTAGACGAAAAAAAGTCATGGGATCAAAAAAGTGTCAGGTACTCACGGAAAACCCATGAAATACAAGCCTGTGAATTTTCTTTCACTTGAACTTCAGTTTTACAAATCTGCGGGATTGAAATTCCGATTCCATAAAAAACTCAAAATTAAAATCCAGGAAAATTAAGTTTAAAAACTATCTTAAAAAAACATATTTGCAGGAACATGTTGGGAAAACTTTACCTGTGCTTGTGGCTCGAAAATATACAATGATTGATTTGAATTCCCGTCTCCAAGGTGCATGTTTCGACTTGGACAACGTTCTTTTGTAAGTCATATCACATTTTATTGTAAACACCTTAGGAATGGAGTATGGAAAACCGTTCACGGCATTACTTCATACTATGCATTCTGGGCAACAAGTCATATTTCAGAACAGTGCAGTCAATGAAAAAGGCTGCATCGAGTTTCGAGAACATTCAGGCAATGCTTCGAGACTGCGTACATCACAAATAACAACTAAATTACTCAACTAAATGATGCTTTTGATCTGAAGGAATGTATTATAATGTATAAGCACGGAAGAAACAAGGAAATTCCCGTTGTAACAACTTAAGTTATCCACAGCATAAAACTTAAACAAAAAAAATAATGAACAAGACTCACTAATGAAAGTGCACATTTCTGCTCAACAGCTATGCGTAACAGTGTGACACTCTAGTTCTGCTTTCTAATGTTTAAAAATCCCTGGATGATGATTTACGTTATTGAATTTCTTTACGATATATTTTTCCACTAAATGTAAAGAGAACCATCAGCTGGCCCAATATAACCAACACCGATCAAAACAACATCTACAAATGTCCAAATACCCAAGCCACCAAAGCTGAATAATTTTCCTATTGCACTTTTCCACATTCCCAGATAAAAACGATCTGCACCAAAGCCTCCAAGTGTAACTGAAAGGAACATCGCTTTCCACCAGCTATATCCTGAGGACCAGTTGCATCTAAAAGTGAGTCTATGAATCATAGAAGGCAAATATACTGGTTCAAATTCTGCAACCTGTATTTTTGCACGCCTTTAGAAAAAAAAATGTCGCCAGAGACACAAGTTACAGTTATAGTAAGTCTTTAACTGGTACGCCAGTGCGGCTACACTCAACTACATAATCCTTAAACAAATATTAGTATAGTCACGATTTGCAACGTTAGTGATTCAGAACGTAAAAATAAGATGAATAAGATGTTCCATCAATCTTCGAAAGTTTATTTGCAGTAAACGCACCTCACATTCTTGTGGAAAGCTCGTCTACCTTTGCATATGACCCACTGATGTACTTGACACGTCGTGCGAAACAGTCGAGTAGCCAGTGTCGAACAGTTTCTTACCTTCAATGTTCGATCTAATAGCAAGGGATACCTTATTTGATTTCAGGCATCAAAAAGTTTTAATGATAAAGTGATACCGGAGCGCAGTGGTGCTCCGCAATATCGGTCTGCCAACAATATCGGCACTTCGCTTCTTTCTGTAGTGTATACTGACCAGCGCACTGTCTCTTTGTGGTGCAATTCAAAGTTAGTATGGCTCCGTAATCACATTCGGGAAATTTGCAATCCAGGCAAGAACCGTACAATGAACAATCTGCTTTACCGCAACTATAAAAAGGAACTCTGAATACATTACATGAAGGCAGTCATTTTTAAGTTCGATAAATCACAGGTTTCATGTTTGGACTATTTATTACTTCACCCAATTCCCAATAACACAAGTTATCGGATTTATTCTATCTTGAAAGCTCTGATAAGGAAATACAAGATGTTCCTAGATATTCTACGGCCACTATAACGATGAAACGGATTTATTTCAAAGTACTCACAAGGAATCCTCATCTCTTGGAGGCTTTTCATCAATCTTCACCAAGTCATTCGTTGAACAGACGACAAAATAGATAGTTAATAATAGCGGGGCGTAAATCATTATGTTGAATATTTGATCATGCTGCTAACTTATAACCTAACATAAAGCATAAAACAATTCATAATGCATTTAGTGACGATTACTATCAGTTTATTATTTGAACTGTTGACTATCATTTCCCTTGGCAGCTATGTGTAACAAAGTGTCACACTCTTTAATGCTTAAACTACCCACACTATAACATAACTTTTGAACTGAATAAAGGAAGATGAGAAAGGCCTTCAACAGGCATCGCGCCTCATTCTAAAAAAATAGATTCAGATCCTTAACATACATATAGGCGCTACTTTGCTCAGAGTTGGCTATGGTCTCCCGTCCGCGCAAAACCACATCAATTTCAAGCGTATGACAGTTTTGACAACCAGCATTTGCTTGCATATGAATGTGTGAAACAGAAGTCGAGTACACAAAATGTTTTGCAAATGGATGCATCTAAGACTATAACGCTCCAAACAACATCGGATTATATTAGCCGTATTTGACAATGATATTGAGATAACGATTGGTTTATTTCGAAATTTCCCAAACAACATTAAATTGAGCGCCATTTCAAGTATGAATTGGAAAAGGAAATCGACACATCACAGTTTGCGTTTGCTCAGGAAATGGCCGCACTAACGAATTGCGCAACGGGACGTAGATCTACAGGGATGTTCAACCGGACGAATGAACAATCAAGAAGGTCTTCATGTTTCCATCGTTTTGTTTCGTCCACAATAACGCTGTAACTTTCAGTTTGAGTAGTGGAATAATCAACCGAATAAGTAAAAGTCACAGGTCCCTTTAAACTAGCAGAAATGCATAATCTACAGCCTCTATTCATCAGAATTTCATGCTTCCAGTGATACTCGCCTTCTGAGATTTATTCAACACTATGAAAGCAATGCGATACTTTCTGGAAAGTATGTAATAAGCATTCAAAAGCAAAATGATCTCTGGGACATTAAATTAAATCACCATTCATTAAACTACGGACGACAGTGATTTAAAACTATTCCTTTCTGTGTCTTCTTGTTTCTAAAAAATGTTTTTTTTCTTCGTCGTTGTTTACAGCCCTAAAGATGTAACCAAAATAACTATTAAACACATACACACACACCAATTCTTCAGTACATCCACAAAGTCAACTGGAAGATGTTCAACATCAAAAGAACCCATAATATCAAAATTCTTGTCAAAAATAGCTTCCACTGCAGCAGAAACATTTTTACAAGTGCTCATTACTAACGGAAATTTCCCAAGAGCCAGCTCACATACCGTCAAACCAAAGCTCCATATATCCGAACATATTCTGAAAAGATTGGATTAAATTTAATCATGATAATGAATGGGAAATTGAAGAGAAAAAAACTAGCTGGAACGTGAAGTATGCAAGCAAAGAATGCGAAGTCTCAATTTTGTTTTTAATCTTAACGCTTTTCATGAGAAAACACTTTAGCCCAAAAGAATTTTTCGTCTCAGCTTTTCTTTTGATTGTTTTAAATCATTCAAGTTGCTATCATAAAAGCAATTCTTCAGTTTATATTAGAAAACCAATTAATCTGGAGATGTTTAAGCTTCACTTTTAGCGTTGAAAAATTATGCCATTTGAATAATTTAGATATGCAGAAATACCTGTAAGGACCGCCTTGTATACGTTCCGGAGCCATGTATGCACTGGTGCCGACAAAACTGCAAGCTACAGATCTCTCCAGTTGTTTCGAAACTCCGAAATCAGATATTTTGACGTCACCGTGCGTGTTCACCAATATGTTGCTTGGCTTTATATCTATAACTTTTGAATGACAAACAAGAAAACTTTATAATCCCTGTCTACAGCGGGGGCACAAAAATTGTTCGCCACTAAGAATCATTTTTTTCGTTCACTGAAAAATTTTTTTTGAAACAAAGGGATAAGAAATATCCACAGATTTAGTTCCAGCGTTTCTACACGTATTTTAAATTACGAAAAATCGGTAAGTAAAAAAAAGGTGAAATGAAGCAGAAAAATCCTCCATACCTATTTTATAATAAGAAAAAAATTGACCTCTGTGCATCACTTTGTAGGTCCAAAGATGATGAAGTCCGCAGATAATGGAAACAACTGCAGGAACAAGTACCGAAACAGGCAATTTTTTATAACGATCCAATGACCCACCATCCATGAATTCCATATATAAGCATAGTTCGCCATCAAGTAGTGCAGCCGATAAGAAATTCACAATGTATGGACTGCAAGAATACTGTACAAGACAAAATCAGTGATTTAAGCAAGATCAAGACTGCTTTTCATTTGAAACTGCAAACAACGGAATAACTTCTTTTCCACCTCATTAATTTGAGTTTGATTTAGCAGCGCTTATTGATATCTTGTTAAGACTGATTGGAGTCTAGAAATGCACTCTTTCATATAGCGGTTTCCAACCTTTTCTTAATCAGGGACCACTTTGTAGCAGGGATCACAATGTTCAAAAATAATAAATTTCGTCAATTTGAAAATAAACTTTAATCAAAACCTTCAACGTAATTGTTTATCAAACATTAATAAGGACAATTCCCGCCTGTTTCCTGCTCAATGCCTGCTGCCGTTGCAGACCACATTTTAGTCTCGTCGACCAGGGAACCACTAGATTAGACATTCACTTCAGATAATGAGACAGTTCTTAGAGAAGACATGCAGGCTTTTAATAGCTTGACTTGTTTTTGAATTCGAATTCTTTGAGAAAAAAGGTAGTTTTGCAATCCTCGTCTGAAACGTTTGTAATGGGAAGTAGGTTTATAAAGAATTAGAGTGGACACCTTTCTGAGAAGCTGTACCTCTCGAGCAACAAGATGTTCTGCACAATCATCAACAGCGATACATTTCAATGCCACAATTCGATCATGTTCCATGTCTAAGGCTCTGAAAGCAGGACTTCATTTCTTAATGATTAAGATTTGGAAAGGCTTATATGAGTCGTCTACTTCTGCTTTTTTCTTTTTCTTCCTGATCGATTGGTAAAAAAAAAACTAACTTATAAACAGTGCCAGAACAACCGAATCCAATAGTATCAAGTCGCTTCAACATATTCGGCATAATGTTTGCTAAATTACCATCCAAAAGCGGCTTATTTCGCGAAACTGGTAACAATTGTTAATTTAATTTATTAGAGCCTTCGGTTTTATAAAATAGCTTTGAAAAACCATCAAAAATCAACTTGTCGACTACATCATAAGCCAAAAAAAAGAGAAATCCGAGAAAAGCGGAGCTGGCAGCAATATATGTGTTATGTTTTTTTTCTTTACTTTATGACGTAAGTTAGTCTCTAAAAAGTGTTATGGCTAACTTAAATGAATCCTCAGTGGATGAATTCTCGATGAAGACAGCATAGCAGCAAGTTCTTCGTTGGTTCGCACAGCTATGAGATCGCCATCTTCATCTTCATCTAAAACAAATGTTTTTTTCTGACATAGACAATATCCTTCAGAACTGAGGTCCTCCCGGGAGATAAGTCTTACTGAACCGAATCCTGTTATCGTATTTAGAGAAAGTGGATAATCTCTCAGTCTTATTAGCAAACTTTGAATTAATTCATGCAAACCACCGAGGCAGAGATAATAATCCTTTAGAACGACTACCTAAATTTGCAAAAGGACGGTATTTAGTTTGCGATGCTAGGCTAAGTTGTTTTACTTGCAACGCTACAATTAATGTCTCGAAGCAGTGACTAGTAAATCTTACTAATAAAGTTTAAAATATAAACTCAATTTCTTTTAAAGAAATGCAATGTACATTGAAAGCCATTCGACCCGGGATAATTCTGAGATAGTTCTTGGTAGTTCCCGAACAATCGTTCTAAGATTTATCAAGTCCTTTGCCACGTTAAAAAAATTTGTTGGAAAGACGAGAGATGAGTGTGAAAGTTAGGCCTATAGCTAGATAGCTACATCGCAGGCTAGGTGCTCAGAACTTTTAATTTCAGAGCGGCAAATAATGAAACTTCTAAGTTGGTTTACAAAAGAATGACGCGACGCTAATTTTACGAACAGAGGAAATATTGATAATGCTGCTGGGGTGATACAGCGGCAAGAAAGGTGTCGAGAAATGAAGTAGCGATGTCGTCTACGGAGACCCTGCGTTCTCTCCCGCTCGATTCATCCAGGACGATGGTGTTCAATACCATTCCATACAGCACTTCACAGGAACTCCACTGACCAATGTTACTGCACTGCAAGTGTCCTTATCAGATTGGTACTTCCATCACATGGTAGGCTACATAGTCGTATCTTTCCAGGTGAAAGATGCCCATAGTGTGGTATTTCAGGATTGAGTAAAAAACGGAAAGCGCAAATTAGGTCCTGTTGTTCACGTCTCAGATATCAGTTCATCCATTTGCCATAAAAATAAAGTGGAGGGAGAGAGAGAGAAGCATCTCGTCATCCACCTTACCTTATCACTCGAACCTGTCTCGACCACCTCTGCTTCGAAAATATATTCGTCAACTCAGAGAAGTCCGTCCTTTCCTCCGTCTCTCTCACTCTCTTCTATTTGCTTGAAAAAAGAGTGAAGTGGAAGCAGCCGGGAAAACTATGGATGAACCGGAAATTGTAGCGGGACGCACACTATCGCCTTCTCCCATGTATTTCAGTGATAGAATGTCTTTTCGATGGTTTGAATTACCCCTTTGCTCCCTACTTCTGTACAAGGCTGCTTCACAAGTTCAGGTACTTCTCATCAATTTCATTTATTCTCATCCCATTGCCAATCTTAAACAGCAATTTCTATGCAAATTAATACATAAATTTTATCAGCAAATGGGAAGTGCAACTGCCAAAAACGTTTGATTCATTTGTTCAGTGACATTCCGACATGCTGGGTAAGAAATCTTGCATCTTATTATTTCAGAATGATGAAGACTGGTGGATATGCGTTCCTGTCTATGCACTTGGTGCTATTCTTTGCTTGCTGCAAACACCAACAAGCATTATTTGGCGTACAGCAAGTGCAGTTGTAATCCTGTTTGGATCAATTCTGATAGCATTTCTCATATGGACTGCGAACCATTTAGCAGACGTCATCACGACTGAACCCTTCGATCAGGTATCGTTTCTTTTACTCCAACTTATCTTACAAGTTATTTGTGTTAGGTTTTTAACGTAAAGTAGATCGGTCAGTGGTTCCATAAATATCTGCTGAATGCTATGAAAAGAGGAAATGAGAACTTTATAACTTTATTCCCACCCACGCAAAGCTATGTAGCAAAAAGCTAGAAAGGAAAGTCACAGTTATACGATCGGATGGGATCGGATTGATAGCAGAGAGGCACTGTTTGCATTTGAAAATTCATAAACAAACAACTAAACAGTGGAGCGAATCAGCAAGGAGAGCATTTGTAGTGTAGTGATATTTTCCTTATGGCTGCTGCAGTGGCTATGACATGTGGTGTTCGTTTGCGCAGCGTGCAACATGCCACTGTATTTGCTTATTTGCGAACAGCGCTTTTCCTTGTGGCACTCTCGGTTGCATTTTTGGGACTGGTCTATTCGCTGTGCTTTTACACCGATTCTCCCATTCGTTACTTCATTGATTTTTGGTAACTCAGTAAAAGTAGTGGTGATCATGTAAGGTTTGCGTTTTCATCAATAAAACGAAATATCGTATTTAGTTGCTTATGTAACAGGAAAAATAGCATGTCATTCCTTCGAAATACCTGGAGATTTCAAAACTTGGAGGAATATCTACTTTGATATCTATTAAAAGGCATCCTCAGATTGAAGACGTTAACGATGTAATGTTGCTTTTGATGCTACCATAAAAGTAGAAGTTGTTCAGGTAATGCAGCGAATGTTACTGTCAATATTATTTACGTTTATTATCAACCTTAGTAAAAATGTTAAAGCTGTATTCATTCCGGAAATTTGTCAACAGTTAAGTGATAAAACCATTTGCCCTTGTGTTTATATTGTTTTAATATAAGTATCAATAAAATGCATACATTCTTTACTCTAGTTTAATTGCTTAGCAATGTGACGTTCTCTTTCATTTATTCACTCCAAGTTTTTACATTTTCTACCTTCGTTGTCCTGAGATTGTGGTAATGCCTGGAAGAGAAAGAATTATTATAAAAGAAATATACTTTTTCACTTCGTAGCAGTTTTATACACCTCTATTTTGTATTTACGAATGTGAACTAGACTTGAATTTTTGTTAGGTATATCTGCACACTTGGAAGTTTAGAAAGTTGGTGTTGACAATGCAGATTCAGTAAACTTCATTGAAGCTAAATTCTGGATATACGAACACAAGTCAGATCAAGAATACATCTTCATAGAATACGCTACTTCCAGCTAAATAGACGGAACACTTGCTAAGACTTGGATCAATTTCACCAGTTTTCATTTAATTTTTTGGAAGATGATAAATATGACGTATTACATATATATTCACTGTTTAAACAGCTTTGAAATAGAAATGAATTGTGCTGTGTAGAACTCTCACCTGTTTGTTCATATCTCTTTGTTGGATTACCTGTACCATGCAGTTTTTTTTTATTAAAAATACATAAATTTCATGTTTATGTTTTCGTCGAATTCTTTAGAAGTATTTCATAACACTTCTTATCTAGGAGTACCAAAAATTTGGTTCGAGGCGTATTTCGTGAATAACAAATAAGCTCCAGATGGTTTGGCACTATGAATTCCTGTTGATGTTAGGATTATGTATATTGAATATTTATGCTGCACTGAAATCAGGCAATGAACCAAAAGGGCCAAAAGTGACTGACAAGGTAAATATGGCATGATCTTTGTGTCGCTATTTTCCCTTCACTACTTCGTTGTAATGCATCGGAAAATTATGGGACGGATCTCGTAATGGTCAAAAAAAGTATAATGTGAAAGTAAGGTAAAGGCACTGCTAAGCATATTACAAATATGACGAATATTGCTAACATCATGTATGTGTCAGGGTATATGTAATTTCATGTAAGAAGCAGTACAACCTATTGATTGAGTTATTTCTAATTATTCCTTTTCTTCCCTTCTTTTTCTTCCTTCCTGCTTATATAGCATTTCCTTACTATTGATTCTGTTTGAGTGTTTTCAAAATATGAAAAATCGTCTTTCAATAATGTTTTAAAAGCGTAGTTCTGTAGGTTGTTTTAACGATAAAAATAGGAAATGAAGAAACGGGCACAATAACAATTGGCTTATTTGGGAAGACAGTTCCGAAAACTGTAAAAAACTTCATCCAGTTATCAAAGAAAGCAGAAGGAGTAAGTGTATTTTGCTCCAATTGAGTTTTTATTACGGAAACAACGTTTTTCGAATCTGTTTAGTTAATTCTTTATAAGCGATTTATTAACAATGGATTACAAGCGTAAAATCTTGAAGGATTTTTATTAACAGACAAACTATCTTAACTTCTTTTTAAATTTTCAGGAAGGATATACTGGCTCGAAATTCCATCGAATTATCAAAGATTTCATGGTACAAGGTGGAGACTTCACCAACGTAGAGTTGTACAAACATTTTTTTGTCTAATTATTTGATATATTGCTCTTTTTACTGTCGTCTCTCCTTGACATTACTTAACACATGTTCGCTTCAGGGTGATGGTACCGGCAGTAAATCTATCTATGGTGAGAAATTTGCTGATGAAAATTTCAAATTGAAGCATTATGGTGCAGGATGGCTTAGCATGGCAAATGCCGGACCAGATTCGAACGGTTCTCAGTTCTTCATTACTTTAAAAAAACACCTTGGCTCGATGGAAGACACGTCGTTTTCGGCAAGGTATGGTAGCTGATTAGGTATCCTTGGTTTCCTTCCCGTAGTTCTTTTTAACTCCTTTCTTTTTAGATTCTTGATGGAATGAATGTAATAAGGAAAATGGAGAATACGAAAACAATAAAGCCTAGTGACAAGCCTGTAAAAGATGTCGTAATCGTAAAGGCAGAACATATTGCTGTAGAATCTCCATTTGCAGTCCACAAGGCTGATGCCGAAAATTAAATAAGGTGCTCTTTTCGAAATCGATCTAAAAATTTCGAAAACATAATTCATCTGTATCTATTAGAAAAGGAAACTTTGGTAACAGCTTTCGACAGTTTGTTCAAGAAATCATCTTATTGTTTTTGTTGTTACTGTTGTCGGTTGTTTGTGTGTTTCACTGGGTTGATTGGGGTTAAAGAGGGCACAAATCAACAAAATTGTTACATAAGAATAAAGAAAAGTTCGAACTATTAATAAGACGCTGAACATCCATAGTCTAACCTAACATTAAAAACTTACCTTTATGGAAAAGCAAAATCAAATACCATTAGGAGAAAAAAGCTTTGACACGAAAACTGGGATAGTCTTCGGAATGAAGGTTAATTTGGGAACAGCTATGTGTCCTCACCCGAGAAATAAATTTTTATATTTACTTTTGAGCTTTCAGTCATTTCCAATTTTAATTCACCGGTTGGAGGTATCATCGTACACATGTAATAGCAACAAATGATTGCTTTCCTTGTGCCCTGCAATGATTTTTACAGAGTTAACTGGAAACCTTACTCATTTTCTTGTAATTACTTCAAGTAACTACAAATGTCTAAATCATTATTATTCTCGTCAATGGGTGATAACGGTCGTATGTTAACAAAATACGTCCAAAACAGGGAATTAGATTTGCTTTGAATTTTAGTGACGTGAAGACCGCACATAAAATATTTCTGGAATTTTGATAGTCTTTAGTACGATTCCTTCATGCTCACCATCTACTTTGTATTAATCAGAAAGTTTAGCAACCAGTTTTAAGTTAGTTGAAACAACCGAACTTGTTCCAGAAGTATTCTGCAACTAACTTTTTTTAAGAAGTTGGAACAACCGAACTTATTCCAGAAGTATCCTGCAACTAACTAGGTAGTTCCGAATGTACCTGTACACATTTCAGACAACATCAGCTTTCATCATCTCTAACTTGTTAATTAAATCAGCTGAAACCAACGTTTGAAATTTACTGGAATACAAATCCACGAGGGACATACTTTTGAATTCCAAAACTGTCCTGAATATTTCCTGGAGATTTATGAATAGTAGTAAATTATCTCTTTTTTGATACCGTCTAACCGAACTCAATTTTTTGACATGATGAATACAAAATTAAACAACCAGCACAATTCACCATTTTGCTCTCTACCCTTTTGCAACAAATATAAGCCATGTCGTTCGTTTGGTCCATTACTTGGCACACATTTTCTGGCTTACTGACCAAATATTCCCAACCTTTCATTAAATCAACACCTTTTCTGTACTGATTTTCCACACAATCATACTCCAAACTAAAATAACTTTGAGAAATTGTTTTCTGTGAAAAATGATAGTAAATCTTGCATAATTTGCAAGAGTCAAATTGACTGCTTTCCCCAATTTCTTCTTTTTTTCTGATATTTCTCCTTTTTTCCAACATTTTTCTCTCTCCTTTCCCTTTACCACGACTTTTCCCAACATTTTTCTCTCTCTTTTTTCACTTATTACAACTTAAAATTATATCTGAACAATGTGAGCTAGTGCAAGGAATGGGCTATTTGAGCAGCAGTGATAACGGAAAATTACTTCCAAAACCTACCTTTTCTTACTGGCTAGATAAAACCAACCTGAACTGTTTATCAGAAATTTATTTTTCAGTCGGCACAAGCTCTCGTTCACCGCCAATTCCCGTTATTTCCTTCATTCTTCCGATCCTGTTGTTCTTCCTTGCTCGTCCATTTCACTTCCATCACGGATCTACATAGTGGGGACTGATGAATTCGATCAGTTCTTTCATATATGTTCCTTCCATTCCCTTCTGTCTCTCTTCCGACATCAAACTTGCATAGCGAATGTTTAGTTTCTCAAGTTTTTGCAGGCACTTTGCATAATATATCAAAGGCTGATAAAAAAATCAATGTTTCTTCCATCATATTACTTTTTCGAAACAGTTCATATCCTTGCAACATTTCCATTATTTTATTCAATTGAGAAATTCATTTTTTACTTTTAAAAATGCTTGCCCCTTTAATGAAATTAGCTACCTGCACAAAATTCCTCAGAACTTTTTTCTGCAAGAATCCTTCTACTAAGCGTTTGAAAGTGTAACATCTCGTACATGATCCGAACCAAACGCGATGACATAATCCAGGTTCTTTCCCCATCCCACTATCGAAAAAGGATCCCTTTGAATTGATAAGAAATGGGTTAAGAACAATTTCGATCTCTAGGAAGCAAAGTAATCCGTAATGAAAAGTGACGCCGTTGGATATGACTGGTAACGATAGCACAGTTAAACCGAAACTTTATTCTTGTAAAGACGAAAGGGTACAACGCTAGGAGGAGCCAGTGTCAAAAATCGGGGTGTGGATAACATAAACAAAACGGCATATAAGATGCTCCAATAGCTGCGTATAAGATGTGTACAAGATTACAATATTCTGACAGCTGTGTACAAGATGCATATAAGATCTCTGCAATATTCTAAACAACAAATACCTTAACATATTATAATTTCTTTGGTTTCCCGACATTTGTCACTGTCGAAATAAACGTAAACATGAGGTTATTTGGCCTAGGGTCAAATAATTTTAGAACACAATCATTCCGGTTTGTGTTATTCCGGTTTTCCCGACACCTACCGCCTTATCATTACTCAACCACAAAAAAGCCTGACGACTTGCAACATTTACACCCAAATCGATAAATTGAGCGAAATCCTTCTGCATCCATCCGGTGGCTATTCCCGTTACAGGTAACTAATAGAACAAGCACAGATGTATCTCTAAACTGATTTCCTACTTCTCCGTGTCAAGATTCCAGTACAAACATAAAATACTAAGCAATCAAATGTTTTAAATACGTGCAATAATTATGAGATAATGAAGTTTCATTTTTAAGAGATGAGTATGATTTCATGATGAAATTTCTTGGCAGATGACGTGGCAGTGATACTTCTGGAATACTTATGAGAACTCGGACAAAACATTATCAACCAAGAATGGAGCAGTGGGCACTCCTGAAATCAGCAAATGTACCACTATCGGCTTATTTAATAATGATGCCCATCACAAAAGAACCAAATTAAAGTTTACAATCCGGTACTCCTGATATAATTTTAAGAGGAAGCATAGGGCAGATGTTTAATAAACTACGCAAATGGAATGAATGTAGGGATGCATTACCGCAATAAGGAATTTTGATTGAAAATCTTGGTATTCATTATTCAAATACCTAAAAAAAAGTCTTTTCCATGTACCAATCCAAAATTTTATTTAACGAGTGCACGAGTTACGCGTTCATAGATACTCCAAAATATAAATTTAGTCAATTATTAAGC